GAAACAATACATATGAAAGACTAAAACGTACAGTGTTATATACATGTCCCTCCCTCTCTCCTTCTCTTCCTCCCGCTTTTCTATTATTCCTTCTTTCCTCTGGTTAAATATAAAGGGAAGCCTAGGGAAGATGGAATGTAAATATTTTATCTCGGCTGGAGGAATGCCACGTACAAATTACTGGTAGCTTTCAGGACCTGGAATTGGAGACATCCACTTAAGTTGGGTCCAGTTTCCTCTGTTCTGGGCATATCACGAGAATGACTCTTTAAGTACACAGCTATCATCCTACCTACTATTAACATATATTCATTTTCCCTGTCTTTGAACTTTGTAATTATAAAATCACACCTCAAGCTTTATTGGGTCGGGCTTCTTTCAATCCACATGACATTTGTGAAATTCATCCATGCTGTCTTGTTACAGCAGTCGGTTTCTTTGCATGACTGTGTCACAATTATTTATCCATTATGTTGTTGACAGACATTGGGTTATGTCCGGTTTTTGACTATTATAAATAATGCTGCTGTGAACATTTTTGTGCCTGTCTCTTGGTACAATATGTATGTGTTGGGCATATAGCTCATTATGGAAGTGCTGCCTCATGGCGTATGCATTTGTTCAGCTTTATTAGATGTTTCCAGATCGTTTCCAAAGGAACTGCACCAAACTATCCTCCCATCAGCCCTGTGTGAGAGTTCATTTGTTCCTCATCTTTACCAATACTTGATATAAGGAATATTCCACCTGGACTCTTCTTTGGGACCAAAGTGCTCATTCACTTCACTGCTGGTAGTGTTGGTGGTTGAGAGCTCTCTACTGAGGCCACTTCTGTGAATTTCCCTCAGGCAAAGAGTGATTCCACATCCAAAGTCATGTGCCTTCGGCTGGGAGTAGACCATATAATGGTCTGTGGGGTGGTGATAGTGCTTGGTGGTGATGGTGGAGTGGAGACAATTTCCAAGGGCCATCCCAACTTGAGGGTTTCTTGCAAGACTAATTGAGGCCTGTATTACAGGATTTCTCCCTCTGCCCAGTCCTACTTCCTTCACACCTTATAGATGTTTTCTTTTTTTTTTTTTCTTCTTTTTTTTTTTCTTCTTATGTTAATCCCCATACATTACATCATTAGTTCTAGATGAAGTGTTCCATGATTCATTGTTAGTGCACAACACCCAGTGCTCCATGCAGAACGTGCCCTCCTCAATACCCACCACCAGGCCAACCCATCCTCCCACCCCCCTCCCCCCCAGAACCCTCAGCTTGTTTTTCAGAGTCCATCGTCTCTCATGGTTCGTCCACCCCTCCGATTTCCCCCGCTTCATTCTTCCCCTTCTGCTACCTTCTTCTTCTTCTTAGATGTTTTCAAGAGCATTGCCCAGTAAACCTCTTTGTGTACAAATTTGGAAGTGCCGGATTATGTTTCCCTGGGACAGTGATCTGTGATGGTATTGTTAGATTTTTAAAAATTTTAGTTTTGGCCATTCTGGTGGGCATGTGATTGTGGCTTTACTGTCCATTTCTGCAATGGCTAACAAGAAGGAGCACCTTTCCATATATTTCATGGGAATTTGAATATCTCCTCTTTCGTGAAGTGTCTGTTCAAGTCTTCGCTCACTCTTCTATCAGGTTATGCATTGTATTCTTTGCTTGATATGAATCCTTTGCTGGATAGATGTATTTCAAGTATCTTTTCTCACTATGGCTTGCTTTTTTCCTCCCTTAATGATTTCTTCTGATTTCCTGAATTCTAAAATTTTAACGTAATCCGGTTTAGCAAAATTTTCTGTTAAGTTTGGTGAATACCAATTTTATTGAGGAAATACGTGTGCACCCCAAGAGCATGAAGATATTATATGTTCTGTTCTTAAAGCTTTATTGTTTTACTTCTCTCATTTGATCTAAAGTCTTCCTGGAATGCATTACTTTGAATGGTGTGAGGTAGAGGTCAAGATCCGCTTTTCTCTGTATGGATATCCAGGTAATCCTGCACAATTGATTGAAACTATCATCCTTTCTCCAGTTCACAGCACTGTCCCTTTTGTATGTGTGTATGTGTGGATCTGTTTCTGGATTCTCTATTTTGTTCCATTTGTCTATTTGTCTATCTTTCCACCAATCCCCTCTCCGTCTAAATTACTGTAGCTTTATAATTAGCTTGGATACTTGATATACAGCCTCTTTTTCTCTTTAAGAAAAAAAAGAGAATGATCTTGCCTATTCATGATCCTTTGGATTTTCAAAGCTTAGAAAGTTTGTGAATGTACATGAAAAATTTTCTGGGGTCTTGTTTGTAGATCAGTTTTGGGGAGAGTTGACATCTTTATGATATACCAGGTTTATGGATTTTGAGTCTTTTAATACATGAACCTGGTATATGCCTTCATTATTTAGGTCTTCCTTAGTTTTTTTTTAAAATGTTATAATTTTATGTGTAGCAGTCTTGTGCATCTTTCACAAGATGTTTCACAAAAACATCTAGGTTTTTATGATTGTAAGTGATATCTTTAAAATTTTTTATTTTCCAATTGTTTATTAATGATATCTAGAAAACACAACTGATTTTTATTTTTATTTTTTATTTTTTTAAAAGATTTTGTTTATTTATTTGACAGAGAGAGAGACAGTGAGAGAGGGAACACAAGGAGGGGGAGGGGAGGAGGGAGAAGCAGGCTTCCCGCCGAGCAGGGAGCCCGATGCGGGGCTCGATCCTAGGACCCTGGGATCATGACCTGAGCTGAAGGCAGACGTTTAACGACTGAGCCACCCAGGTGCCCCCACAATTGATTTTTAAAAGATTTTTAAATTTATTTACTTGAGAGAGAGAGAGAGCACAAGCAGGGGGAGCGGCAGAGGGAGAAGCAGGCTTCCTGCTCAGCAGGGAGCCCAATGCGGGACTCAATCCTAGGACCCTGGGGTCATGACCTGAGCCGAAGGCAGATGCTTAACCGACTGAGCCACTCAGGTGCCCCCACAATTGATTTTTGTTATATTAATTTTCTTTCCAGCAATCTTGCTAAATTCATTTTTCAATTCTAGTGTCTATATATTATTTTTGATTTTTTAGATATACAAATATGTTATTTGTAAACAATGACAATTTTAATCCTTCCCTTTTTATCCCTTCTGTTCCCTTCCTTTTCTTGTCCTGGTTAGAACATCGAATAGATGTGGTGATAATAGACATCGTGTCTTCTTCCCAGTCTTAGGAGGAAAGCTTTCAATAATTCACCTTAAATAAAATGTGCCCTATTCCTTGTCGGGTTATGAGAGTTCCTTCTAGTTAGCTAAGAGTTTTCTTAATAAACAGGTGTTGAATTATATCAACTATGCTTTTTTTGTGTCTATAGAGATAATTATATGATTTTTCCCTCTTTTTCTGTCAACGTGGTAAATTATGGTAATTATAATTGAATGTTAAATATTTGCATTCCTGTAATAAGCCCAACTTGATCATGATGTATTATCCTTTTTATGTTTTCTTCCTGGATTAAATTTGCTAATTTTATTTTATATTTTTAAGATTTTATTTATTTATTTATTTTAGAGAGAGAGCATGAGCAGAGCAGGAGAGGGGGAGAAACAGAGGAAGAGGGAGAGGGAGGAGGGGACAGAATCTCAAGCAGTCTCTGCGATGAGTGTGGAGCCTATGAAGGTCTCCATTTCTCAGCCCTGAGATCAGGACCTGAGCCTAAACCAGGAGTCAGTGCTTAACCCACTGAGCCATCCAGGCACCCCTGCTAATTTTAAAAATAAATTTTGCTTCTAGTTCCATGAGCCATATACTAGCATAATACTTCACTCTCTTACAAAGCCCTTGTCAGATTAGGGTATAAAGGTTTTGTAGGCTTCAGGATTTAGCTAAAAATTATGCATTCTTTTTCTTTCTCTATAGGAATTTATGTAATATTTGTTCTTTTTTTTTTTTTCCCCTTTAAAAGTTTGGAGGAATTCACTAGCTAATCTGTTTTGTTATTTTCTAGCTCAATTCCACTGAATTCATAAAGCATTCTGAATGATTCTAATATTTGAAATTTGTTGATACATACTTTATGGCCTACTGTGTACTTAATTTTAGTAAATGTTCCTTATGCCTTGAAAATCATAAGCATTCTGCCATTGTTTGGTTCTGTGTTTTATATATGTTAATTATATTGAGTTTCTTAATCAGATTATCTAGATCTTCTATATATTTACAGATTTTTTCTTCCTTATTCTTTTTTTTTTTTTAAAGATTTTATTTATTTATTTGACAGAGAGAGACACAGCGAGAGAGGGAACACAAGCAGGAGGAGTGGAGAGGGAGAAGCAGGCTCCCCGCTGAGCAGGGAGCCCAATGCGGGGCTCGATCCCAGGACCCTGGGACCATGACCCGAGCCGCAGGCAGACGCTTAACGACTGAGCCACCCAGGCGCCCCTCTTCCTTATTCTTTATGTAGTTAAAGAGATGTAAGTTAAAATCTGTTGTAATTAGATTTGTCTATTCTTTAGTGCTGTCAGTGTTTGCTCTCTCTATATGAGAGTTGTATTATTAGATACATACAGCTTTAGAATAGATCATTTTTTGATGTATTGACACTTATTTTTATGAAGTATCACTCTTAACCCTTAGTAATGCTTACTATCTGAAAGTCGTCTTCTTTTCTAATACTAGTATAGTTATGCCACCTTTATTTTAATTACTGTTTTCATGATATATAGTTTTCTATACTTTTTTTTTGTAAGGAAACACATTTTATGTACAAATCCCTTCCACCATAACTGATGTCACTGACCAATCCAGACTGCCCATTGCTAGTTGGGTTCCATGTGGAATATTGAGGTATTCCCCAGGGTTTGTGACAGCTGATAGATCCATGGTCACTGGGCAGATCAGTACTGTGGAGGGGCTCCTATGATCCTCTATAGAGCTTGGCTCTGGGCTGATCCCTGGGAAGCTGGGTGAGGGGGTAGTGGTGCTGTTGCTCAGTGACCTGAGTCTACAACTTACTTCCCACAGCCTCCGGTGGGAGACAGTGGTGTGTCCACCTGTCATCTGATATTGGTGAGTTTCTTATGTATATCCAGACTTGTTCAATCTGTTGGAAGTCAACTTTATGTAAGACATGATTTTAAAGCAGCTCACAGAAAAACTGGCTGTACAGATTTAGGAATAATTCTGGATAGTTGACAAGTTTAGCATTGTTAAAAGGAGTATGCAGGGATTGAGAAATTTTTAGAGGATGCCAGGCTAGAGAGTCCTTAAATATGCTCAGCCTTACAGACTATTACAGAAAGGTGAAGAGAACACTTTTCTTTTATGAAATATTACGCTTAATCTTTAGTAATGGTTTATATCTAACAGTCTTGCTAATACTGGTCTCCCTTTCTAAGTGTCTTCATGATATATAATTTTCCTAATTTTTAAAACTTCTATGTCCTTATTATTTAAAGTGTGTCTTTTGAAAGTAGGAAACATTTGGGTTTGATTTTATTTTCAGTCTGAAAACCTTAGTTCTTACGTTGAGTATTCATTTGTGCTTAGTTCAGTTACTAATATATTTTGAATTCTATCAACTTAGTATTTGTTGCACCTGCTTTATGCTCCTTTTTTTCTTTTATTACTTGCTTCTTTTTGACTTAAATATTTTTTTCATCATTCCAATCAACTTGTTTGTTATACATTCTTTATTTCTGGAGATTATTACTACATTCATTCTTGAATTATTAGTGTCTAATATAAATTGGTACTTCCACATGAAAACAGGACCTTGGAACAGATGAACTCTACCTTTGATGTTTATTTCGTCATGCATCTTATTTATTTTATTATTT